AAAACTATGGGGAAAGTTCATCCACGGCTGCCCTTGTCGTCTTTGTCGTGGAAGTAGCGGTCGAAGACGCAAAATGGATCGAGCCGGATCTGCTCACTGCCCGAGTTGTCTTACTCGTCACTGCCTTCCTCCTTCTATTAGGGGGGGGGGGGGTCCGGCCATGGCACGGACCGCCCGGTTTTGCTCCCGGGCGAGGGTGTGCGTTGTCCTCCTTTGCTGCTTCTCGAGGACGTGGTCACTGAGGGCTTCCTCGGCCAAGGCGGCATGCGACTTTGCCTCCGCCACCTCAGCCTCGAGGGCTGCCGCAGCTTCCGCGCCCTATGCCTCGCGCGCGGGCACGCCGCGCGTCTGCAACTAACAACCCATGGCGCATGGCAACATTGGTCTAAACCCAAGTCGAACAGAGAATGGACTCGCGGGTGCTTAATGCATCCTATGTTTGAGCCCGCGAAATCCTCGAACGGTTTCATTGCCTGAGATGTTGATCTTTATGACATGTTCATGTTGTCGACTAGTTATTGAGAAGGGCAAGAATTTCATGGCTCGCGAAGTAGGATCAGGTCTAGTGTTTTCCCCGTAAGGGCGTTTTTCTCATTTTCTCTTCCATCGTGCCGGTCGGCTTCGTGTTTTGTGACTGCTAGCTTTTGGCTTCTCCCACCTGAGGTACTTAACTTGGGTGACCCCAGAAGTAGCAATCACAGAGATGCTCATGTTACACGCTTAGCCGAATATGCGGAAACGCAAGGCAATCCACCTTAGCAAAAAGTCACAAGTAAAAATGGGTGCATATTATGGCTAAGACGAACTTTGGAAGTGCAGGCGCAAGCCAAACAGGCGGCGTGGGACAAGCAATTTCGGGTGCTTTGATAGACCCGGGAGGTTCTTGCCGAGGTGATGTGACAGCCCCTAGTTATATTTACTAGATAGGGGGCGCGCGTTGCCCGCCGAACGGCGGGCCAACAAATAGGACACTGAGATGTTCATGGAGATGATCTCAGCATCTTGTAAACATATATCATAACTATCACCGTTTAGGGGGTAAAAAAGTTATGGATGTAACATGCATTTAGTTGTTCTCTCTGACATGCATAGGGAGGATGGCATGGTCACAAGATATACATGGGGCAACAATAAGACTTGTGGAGGAACAAAAGCGTAGGGTCCTAAATCCAAGAAATTTCAATGTAGAGCAGTAAGGCGAAGTGCTTCCTCCATTTGGTTGCAACGACAGTGGTAAGATAGAAAACCAATTTAGAGCTATAATTTGTTTATGAATGGTAGCATGTGAAATTGGATAGGACACTTGATCAACCAAATTAAGTTTACCTGCTACGCCGTGCATGTCATTTTATTTTCTGTTCCCTCTTCTCTGTTTCTTTAGAGGCTAAAAATGAGGTTCCCATCTTCTCTGTTTCTTTAGAGGCCAAAAAATGAAAGTAAGAGCACATGTTCTCTTTGTCTGT